TGGTCTCTGGGATGCTGCTGCTCAGCAGGTATGACAGAGGATGGTGGATGGAATGATCTCCAGCTCAGTTGTGATGAGACCGAACAGCTCACCTTTACTCTCTGGTTCAGCTTCAGGAAAGCCCAGGGACACAGAACCACTCTGTCCTGCTGGTGCCAGGACAAGGGTGTTTGTGGTGCTCGTCCTGGTAATCCTGGGTCCTAGCCATGATGGGACCTTGAGGGAAGGGCCTGGGGCCTGTCCATGATGTGGCTGAGGCACAGGGGTCTTGAGGATGGGAGACTTGGGGAAGCGGGGTATGGGGCAAGGACAGGGCAGGGGTGACAGCAGCTAAAGATCCCCTCCTCTGTGCAGCCTCTGCTGATGCTTCCATGGCGGGGCGGGGTGGGGGGGAGGGATTTGAGTGTTCCCTGCACTGCATCGCACAATAGCCAAGCCAGTCAGGACCTGGGGCTCCTTGAGGTCGAGTCTGTTCACCTCCCAGCAGAGCTCCAGAATGGAGCCGGGCTCACAGTGGTGTCTGGTGAATGCCAGTGGAACAAACCAGCTGGTCTCCCAACGTGGGAGGTCAGAGAGGTGACTGCAAGAAAGGAGGGGAAGCCTCCCCAAAGATGTCTAGGCATCTGTACCACCTGGAGCTGACACCATCATGGGGTGCAGACATGGCCACCAGCAGGGATGTCAGGGTGACCACGTGGCAGGGCGGGAGAAAGGAAGGTGAGAAATGAGGCAAGACCTGCAGGCCACTGAGGAAATCGAGAAGTGCCAAGTGTCTCGGGAGCAGAAACAATGCAGGGGGGAGGTGGGAAGAGCCCCCTCCACTGCTCTGCCCCAGGCAGATCTTGCCTCCTCATTGACCCTGGGCACACAGCAGGGTCATATAGCTGGGACTCTCCCATCTTGTCCCCTGAGAGTCCAGGCCATGTCCAGTCTGCTGACTTGTGCCCAAAGCAGCCGGCCGAGAGAGCCTGCAGCCCCACAGTCCAGCTTGTGTTTTTCCCCTCACAGGATCTACCAGGCACGTGCTGTAGATTGTCTGTCTCCCCCAGGATGGGGAACATCTCAAGGGCATGAACAGGGTCTGTTGTGTCTCCTGTTTGCCTCCAGCTCTAACACGGAGCTTGGTCTGTGTTTGTTGAGTGAGTTAATGAGTGAATGGCTGCCTCCTACACTTTGCCTAAGACACTTACTGATCTTTTATACCCCAGATACTCACACAGAACCTCCAATACCCCATACCTGGAAGAACTCACTGCCCCTAGAGTCTAGAGCAAGGATTCTACATCTCGGCTCTGCTGACCGTCGGGACTGGGTGATTCCTGGTTGTCAGGGGGCCGTCCTGTTCACCATAGGATGTTTAGAAGCATCTCTGGCATCTACCCACTAGCTGCCAGTCCCACCATACTCTCAATCTGTGACAATCAAAGGTATCCAGACAAATTCATAGACACACAGAACATAGCGTGGTTGTCACCAGGGCGGGCAAGGGGAAATGGAAAGTCATTTTTTTAATGGCCACAATTTCTGTTTGGGAAGATGAAAGATGTTCTTGAGATGGATGGTGGTGATGGTACCAAAACAATGTGAATGTACTTAATGCCACTGACCTCAGCAATTAAAAATGGTTAAAATGATAAGGTTTTTGTGATGCGTATTTTACCATAATAATAATTTAAAAAGCAGCCAAAGATTTACTCAACCACTTCACCAAAGAAGAAAAACAGATGGCAAGCAAGCACAGGAGGACATGCTCAACATCACTTGTCGTTAGGAAATTACAGATTAAAGCCAGCAGGAGATATACATCTATTAGAATAATTTAAAAACTGAACAAAAATAAAAGATAAATAATCTTGATAATAGCAAATACTAAAGAGGATGTGGAGAAGCCAGAATTCACACACGCTGCTGGTGGGAACACCAATGGTACAGCCCCCTTGGAGAACAGTTTGGCAATTTAGAATAAGGTTAAACCTCTGCTTTCCATATGACCGAGCTATCTGCTTCCTGCATGTTTATTTACCCAAGAGAAATAAAAATGCATGTTTCCACAAATGCCTGCATGTGAATACATACAGCAGCTTTATGCATAGTTGTCCCAAACCTGGAAACAACCCAAAATGTCCTTCAGTTGGTAAGTGTGTTCAAAATGGGGTACGTTGAAACAATGGGGCACCAGCCAGCATTTAAAAGAAATATATTATTGATACACATGCTTAGTAACATGGAAAAACCTCAAATGCATTATTAAAGATGGATGAACCCAGATTTTGAAGACTGCATTTTGCTGGTTCCATTACTACAACACTCTGTAAACAGCAAAACAAGAGGGATAGAGAACAGATCAGCACTATTTAGGGGTCATGGGTGGAGGGAGCATCTGGCTCCCCAGAGACAGCACGAGGGAACGTCTTGGGTGACGGCTCCCTTCAGTCTCTTGACTGTGGTTGTGGTTACACACTGAAAGACATCGGTCTATCCTCACAAAATTGTATACGATGAAAAGTAAATCTCACTGTGTCTGAGTTGAAAATAAATTAAAAATAAAAAACAAAATGAGAGCCAGCTCTGATGGCCTAGTGGTTAAACTTCGGCACTCACGGCTTTGGCGGCCTGAGTTCGCTTCCCTGTCACAAACCACACCACCTGTCTGTCAGTTGTCATGCCGTGGCAGCAGCTCACATAGAAGAATTGGAATGACTGACTACTAGGGTATGCAACAATGTCCTGGGGCTTTGGGGACAAAAAAAGAGAGAGAGAGAGAGAGAGATTGGCAACACATGTTCGCTGAAGCCAAATCGTTCCCTGTAGAAAAACAAAAAGCAAACAAAACAAAACAAAAAAGCATGATAAGATGTCTCTACATTCCCACTAGAATTGTTAAAATTTAAAAGACTGATAATTTAAAACACTTTATCAGTTAAATAAAAGTTAATAAAATAAATAGTTAATAAAATAAAAAGTTTTAAATAAAGTTAAACTTTAAAACTGATAAAGTGTTTAATGAGGGTGACAAGATGCTAGAATTCAGGTATTTTTGCAGACAGTACTGTAAAGGTTAAAACCGTTTTGGACAACAGTCTGATAATTTCTACTTAAGTTAAGCACATGGTTACTCTTTCATCTAACAGTTCCACTTGTTGCAGGTACTATTATTTGAGGGTGAAAATATGTCCATAAAAAGACTTACTTCTTAATATTTATGGCCCAAAACTCAAAAATCTCAAATGTCTGTCAATAGATCAATTAACAAAAGATTGCAGTATACCCACAAAATGGAATACTACTCAGTAATCAGACATTATGAATGACAGAAACATGCAACCTGGATCCATTTCAAAAATAGTGTGCTGAGTGAGGGAAGCCAGACACAACTGAGTACGTTTCTAGGAAAATCTCAAAAAGACAAAATTAATTCACCAAGATAGACGGTATATCAATGGTTACCGGGAGTGTAGGTGGGAGTGATGAGCTGCAAATAGTTGTGGGTTTTCCTTTTGGGGTAGCGGAAAGGCTCTATCTCTTGATGGTGGAGTCATAACTGAGCTGTATACATTTGATGAAATCCATAGAAATGCAACTTTCAAGTGGATATATTTTACCTTATGTAAATTATAAGTTTCCTTAAAGAAACACGAGAACTCACAGAACCTTCCAGTCCATGAACGTGGTATAACTTTTCTGGACTGTGAAAGCAATTGCATTGGGGTTTCCTTTACGTGCCACACTCTTACTTTTTTGATAACCCAGAACTAGTATTATTTTACTTATAAGAGAATCAATCCGCTATATATGAAATGAGGGTGCAAAATATCGGTTAGTAAGGTTGAAGGAACGGTTCTCTAGAAACTACTATATTTGAAACATTTTCCAAATCGATGGTGGCAAATGCATTTATGTCATTGGTGGCAAAGATTTCCCAGACTTATATGACACAGAGTGAGATGCAAAACCACATGAGCTGAACCTAAAATTTTAAATGTAGCTGTACATTCCACTCATTTTCTAGAAATATTATGTTTGTTAGCCACATGTAACTGTGCTAAGAAGATGTTTTCCATGACAGGAAGCACTAATCTGCATGATGAGGATCTAAAACAATTCACTCCAGTCCACACAACGCTGAACGGCGGCATTCAGGGAAAAGATGTTTCCTCTGCACTGGCTCCTAGGACATGGGCTCTCCTTTTTGTTTTAAATGAAGATGCTGCATGGTTTTTATTTTACACGTGCCATTGAAACTTCATGAATCAGCATACAATCAGTTAAAAAAAAACTCTACTCATATTTTAGAAATAACCCAGTGTTCTTGCAGGACACACAGCAAACTCATCAAAGACTGAGATCTAAAGTGCAACAGTTGAGTGTTTGTGGAAGAAGTGACTCCATTGGGTGGGGAGCATCTCACAGGCATGGACCAGGCGGGTCATTTCCCTTCTTGTCTCCAGCCTCCCCAACACATAGATGCTCACTAAGTGTTTGGAGAATGAATGAATGATTGGATGCTAATTTCACCTCAATTAGTACTTTCTTCTTTGCTTCTACCCTAGACCGTCACACAGACCCTAAAGTATTCTTTACCTGGCAGGACTGACCACCTGGGCTTTAGATCAGGCTGTGACCTTCTGTGGCCCAGCAGGAGCTGACCAGCTCCCTGGTGTAGACGACATGCTCAGAAAATCACCCTAGATGGGAGGCCCTTAGAGACTCACTATGTCCCACTCCTCAGATGGCCTCAGAGGGCCTGGTCCAGGTTCAGGTTCTGGAGGGAATCCCTGAGATGGGGGCAGGACACAGGGTCTGCTCCTTTTCTGCTCTCCCCTGGGTTGGAATCAGGGTCTCTGGATCGTGGGGTGTCTGTCCCATCTGTGCAGAGGGGGAACAAGCTCCAGTCTTCAGTTCCTCTTCTGTGAAAGGCTGAGGTCATGTGCTCCTCCCCAGCTTCCGTTGGGCATCCCCACAGCCCCCTCACTCCCTAGCCTTCCCCTTCTCTTTTCAAACACAGGAAAGATGCCCAGAACCCTCTATTCAGAGATGCTGCCACTGCTGCTGCCCCTGCTGTGGGCAGGTGAGTGGGCCGAGGGGAGAGGGGCTGGCGGGCAGGAGTTGCAGCTGACCCTTGTTTCCCCTCAGGGTCCCTGACTCGGTATGACACATTCTGGTTGAAAGTGAAGATGTCTGTGACTGTGCAGGAGGGCCTATGTGTTCGTGTGCTCTGCTCCTTCTCCCACCCATGGGATAACTGTACATACGCTGTCCCAGCCCACGGCTACTGGTTCCAGGAAGGAGCAAATATAGACCGGGATGCTCCTGTGGCCACAAACAACCCAGATCGTGAAGTGCAGGAGGAGACTCACGACCGATTCCACCTCCTCGGGGACCCCCAGACCTACAGCTGCTCCCTGGACATCAGAGATGCCAGGAGGAGTGACTCTGGGACATACTTCTTTAGGGTGGAGAGAGGATCTTTTGTGAGATATAATTACAGAGACCACCAGCTTTCTGTGCATGTGATGGGTAAGGTTTGGGGTCAACGAAATGACATATGGATGGGACTGAGGGCTCCAGGGCACAGCTGGAGGGGATCTCCTACTCCTCACCCTGGGAGGGGCTCAGGGGGACCCAGGAGGATGGGACGCCTGAGCTGTTGGGATGAAGATGGCTGGCTGAGGCAGAGGTTGCTCTTAGAGTGACACCTGGGGTCCCCACTTCCAGGTTTGTGTCTCTATCTCTCCCCTCCTCAGCTCTGACGCAGATACCTGACATCCACATCCAGGGTATCCTAGAATCTGGCGACCCCAAGAACATCACCTGTACAGTGCCATGGGCCTGTAAGAGGGGGACACCCCCCACCTTCTCATGGAGTGGGATGGCCCTTACCTCCTTGGACTCCAAGAATCCCCATTCGCCAGTGCTCACCCTCACCCCGGGGCCCCAGGACCACGGCACCAATCTCACCTGTCGAGTAATATTCCCTGGAGCAGGAGTGAGCACAGAGAGGACCATCCAGCTCAACGTGTCCTGTGAGTGTCAGGCCAGGATGGCCAGGTCCCTGAGGGCAGTGGGTGTGGAGGAGGAGGAGGGGGAGGCAGGGCCTGTGATACTGGGTGCTGGGTCCTGCAAGCTGGCTCTGGGGAGGAAGGAAAGAGGACTCCCAACCCCACCTCTCCCCCTTATTTCTAAAGTACTGGTGGAAAAGGGCCAACACCCACCTTCCTGCCACTGAAAAGGGAACAATTATGTCTGTCCAGATGCGCCACAGAACCTGACCATCAGCGTGTTCCGGAGAGAAAGCACAGGTAGGGAGCAACCTCTCCACTCTAGGGGTTGTGGTGGAAGCAGGGTCTGTCTCCTCCTTTCAGAGCAGAGCTGGGGCCCAGAAGTCAGATGGGAGAAAGGCTCAGGCCAGGTTTTGGGGCAACAGAGGTGGGAAGCCTCCACTTATTCATCAGCTTAGAAACTGTCCTCGACCCACCGATGACCCTGTTCTCAGGGGGCTGGCATGGCCTCTTCAATGTCCGATGGATGTGCTGTCCCCATGCCAGGGACACATCCATGTCCCAAATCCTGCCCTCATTCTCCTTAGGATCTGGATCCCACCTCCTCCTTCAGCCTCCTTGGATCATTTTAATGTTAGTTTCTAAAATAGGAAGCATAAAGTGTGTCTTAGTCTGGTTGCCATTACAAATTGCTCCAGACTGGGCAGCTTAAACAAGAGGAATTTATTTCTCACAGTTCTGGAGGCTGGAAGTCCAAGATCAAGGTGTCAGCCATTGGGTTCCTGGTGAGGACTCTCTTCCTGCCTTGTAGATGGCTGCCTTCTGGTTGTGTCCTCACAGGGCTGAGAGAGCCAGCTCTCTGGTGTCTCTTCTTATGAGGGCACCAATGTCATCATAAGAGCCCCATTCTCATAACTTCATCTGACCCCAATCACCTCCAAAGGGCCCTTCCAGATACCTTCCAAATACCATCACACTGGGGGTTAGGGCTTTAACACATGAATTTGGGGGAAACTCAAGTCCATCCCCAGCAAAATTTAGTAGGAATAAAACAGTATTCAGAACCTGTGTACCTCCCTCTTGGTTATCTCCCCAAATATAACCTATGCATATACATTTAAACAAACGCACATATGTACACATCATACTATACACAATGCTCTGCATCTTTATTATTATTTTTAATAAATTTTTTATGTGGAGTAATTTAGATTTAGACACAGTACAGAAAATTTCCATAATCCCTCAGCCAGCTTCCATCATTGTTAAAATCTCCCATCACCTTGGCAAATTTGTCACAACTAAGGAAGTGACATTAGTACATTTCTTTGAATTCAAGACATCTTTGTCTCAAACTTAGTGTGTCATGGATACACGATATTGTATTGTATCAACTCGAGATATTGATGACTCCATAGTTTGCTATTTGGAAGTAAATTATACAATACGGTAATTAATTGATCTCCTGATGGTTGAAAACTAGAGTGTTTCCAGTCTTCTACTCAGACAAATAATACTGCACTGAATAAACTCTTACAAACATTCCCAGTGTGTGTGTGTGTGTGTGTGTGTGTGTGTGTCTTTGTGTGTGTGTCAGATAATTTTCTGGAAAGGAAAGTCCTGGATCAAAGGGCACGAATGCAGTTTCTACAGATGTTGCCAATCCCACTGCATGGAGGTGCTTCTGCTTCTCCTCCCACCTGCAATGTGCCCCCTTGCCTGCTGAACGTGTCCATCCTCTCTGATCTTAAGTGGACTGACGGTCATGTTAAGTTGCAGTGTCATTTTGTGACTAGGTTGAATATCTTCCATTATGTTTAAGAATGGTTTGTATTTCTTTGCAGACTTTTTCTTGATGGTTTGAAGAAGCTCTTTTCATATTACAGACATCAGCTCTGTGTTAGTGGAAAGGATTGATTTCCAGTCTATTGATGGCCTTTTGACTTAGCATATGGAGATTTTTCCAGGCAGAAACATGCATTTTTCTTCTGAGTTGCTCTCATTGGTGTACCCGGTGTTGGTTCTGACTGGTTGGCAACAGCCAACTGTATCCATCTTTGCCCAACTCTACGTTCAGTTCAAATTGGTGCTTGATATTGACCAAGATGGGAGTATTCACCAAGGAAATTGGCAAATAGTGTAGATCAGGACTCCTGCCTCCCCCCACCATGAATGAGATGGTTGTTAAATATTTACTAGTAAACCACTGGGTACATTTATCAATGTTTTCTTTCCTCTCTCTGACTTTCCCCACTCTAATATTGATTTTTAAATCTCCCATAATTTCTTCCAGCAGCCTCATATACAAACACTCCCAAACATGCCCGTTGACTCAAACCTCACAGAACTATTTCCTTTTCCCCGAGCATGCAGGTCCTTTCACACCTCCGCTGCATCTGCACCTCTTGTACCTTCCTCCACAAGGTCCTTCCATCAGCATCATCCTCTAACCAGTTCCCACTCAATCTCAGGCTCTGTTGAGCCTCTCCTCCTCCAGGAAGCCCTCCCTGTCCTGAGAGTCTCAATGCACTCCCCTCCTCAGGGCTCCTTCCGCTGGATTTGTCCCCATCACAAGCCATGTTGTCATATTGCTCTGTGGGGGCCTGCTTTTGGGGATCTCACCAATGAGGCTGTAAGCTCTCATGCACTTCCAAATTACCAGGTCTTAGTGAAGCATTGTAAGATCAAGCGACATTATATAAACATTAAATGACGAGGATCTTAGATGAAAATCTGGGATCTGCACTGGCATAGATGGCCAAGACAAGTGACCTGGGGGTCAAGGCAGTTCAGGAGAATGCACAATAGCCACTTGGAAAGGCTGCAATGCCTGCTCCTAGCCCTGTTCCCTTGGGGCTGAGCCAAGACAGTATGTGCTCCTCAGGGAGTGGAAGAGAAGACACAGATCTGCATCATGGAAGGAAAAGAGAGAGAGACAGAGACAGAGAGAGACAGAGACAGACACAGAGAGAGCCCCTAATGATGTCTTGGGCACAGCTTTCTTTCTGTCTTGCCAGGAGCTCAATCTCTGGGCAATGGCTCCTCTCTTCCAGTCCAGGAGGGCCAGTCCCTGCGCCTGGTCTGTGTCACCAACAGCAACCCTCCTGCCATGATAACCTGGATCCGGGGGAGCCTGACCCTGAGCACCTCGAACCCTGGGGTCCTGGAGCTGCCCCGGGTGGAGTTGGGGCACCATGGGAAATACGTCTGCCGAGCTCAGCACCTGTTGGGCTCCCTGCAAGCCTCCTTGAGCCTCTTTGTGACCAGTGAGTGGAAACACACCTGGGGAAGGATGCCTGGGTCCTTGGGAGGAGAGAGGCTCCTCTGATCCCTCTGCTCTCTCTCCCGACAGACCCCTACAGCTGTTTGGTAGTTCCTGCTCCTGGAAGTGGGGAGGCAGGATCTGGGTGGCATTTTGGGGACTGTTCTTAGAGACATGACCTGGGTCGAGATGGAGAGAATACCCAGACTCCACCACCTGGCTCATGGCCACCCCATCCTACTTCAGGAGGCCTCTTATTTATTTCTGTTCCAGATGCTCCACAGAACCTGACCGTCCACATCTTCTGGGGAAACAGCACAGGTGGAGAGGCCTGGGTGGAATTGAGGTCTCAAAGGTCTAGTCAGGGGACTGCGTGTGGGTTGGACCGAATGAACCCCCGGCACTCTTTCCCCTCTCTTGTCCTGTGTGAGCTCTCGCCACTTCCTGTCCACTGACAAGGCTCTCTAGGGTCTCTGTGAATTCCTAGTTGACCATTCATGTCACCTCCAGTTGCCTCCTCTCTCTTGACCTTCTCTCTCCCCTCACTGTCTCATGACATCCTTTCCCTGGTTCCCTCCTCCTTCTCTGACTGTCCCGTCTCCATCTCCCACGAGGAGACTGAGTCCTCACATCTGGGCATGGAGCATCCAGCCACTTCGTGCACGGTGGTCAATTTGTCCATCCTGGTACTTCCAATTGGACCTCTGCCCTGAAGACCCTCACAAATCCCTGTTGAGCTGAGATTGTCCTAAGTGTCCTCCCCTCCCCCTTCTTGGGCCCTTCCTACCCGAATCACCTGAGTCAATATCCTGGAAGTCACTTCAGACATCTCTGTGTGTCACCCTACACTCCCCATGACTCAGTGAGTTTTGATACTTGACTACCTGAAAATGTCTCAAATCCCTCTCTTCCTCCATCCACACGGCTGCAGCCCCACATCTGGCCTCCATTCTCACTCACTCTCACCTGGACATGAGTGAGAACTGGACAGGACCAGCCTCCTCTCTGGACTGCCAACCTCCAGTCTGCATCCTTCCACCTGCCAGATTTTGGACTCCACAGGAATCTCTACATACCCCAGAGCTGACCTTCTTCCTTCCTTGCTCAGAACCCTCACAGAGCCCCATGTGGCCCTCAGGAGAGAAGCTGAAAGCATCACCTTGTGGAAGCCTCAAAGTGGTCAGACCTACATGTGTCAGCCCCTGCATGGTTCACACACCAAGGTCCACTGCCTGGCATGGTCCTTCCTGCAGCTAGACATGGTCGACTCTTCCTCAGATGTCCATCCCCTGTCCCTGTCCTCCATCCTCCAGTTGCCTCTCCTTCCCCCACCTCACTTCATGATCTTCACCCCGCTCAACCCTTGCTTGCAATGCTGTCTCAGGAACACTATTTTCCATTCCTGCATCTGTGGGAGGGCAGAGGGAGAGAGGGCTTCTCAGCCCTGCCCTATGGCTCTCTCTGTCTCCCTAGTCCCAGTGGTCCTGCGCAATACCACCTCCCTGCGAGTCCAGGAGGGCCAGTCCCTGCGCCTGGTCTGTGACACTGATGGCAACTACCCTGCCAGGCTGAGCTGGTCCTGGGGAAGCCTGTTGCTGACCCCCTCTCAACCCTTGGATCCTGGGGTCCTGGAGCTGCCGCGGGTGGTCTTAGAGGATGGAGGTGAATTCACCTGCCAAGCTCAGCACCCTGGGGGCTCCTACTACATCTCTGTTAACTTAGTTGTGGAGGGTGAGTACAGCAGGATACCTGCGTTCTAGGTGTGGCCATGAACAGGCTCAGATGTGGACTTTAGGAACCTCATCTCTCCATCCTTCTCCCCCTTTTCTCCAACAGGTATCTCCTCTTCCTTCCTCCACATCTCTGGGGAGCAGCGGGGCACCTGGCCTCTAGTCCTCACCCTGCTCAGGGGGGCCCTAATGGGGGCTGGCTTCCTTCTCACCTATGGCCTCACCTGGAGCTACTACACTAGGTGAGAAGCGCTTCTCAAGGTGTCCTATACCGGGAGACACCTTGGGTGTCTTCACCCACATTGTCCTCTCCAGAGCACACCCTCCACAGCATCATTGTTGAGCTCTATTTCCCCTGCAGGTTCAGAGGATCCCAAGGGGATAGCTTTGCAAGGTGTGACTGAGCCCCCTACCTCCCAGCCATTGAGAGTTGTGGGCTCCAGAACCCTGACAGGTGGATGAGGATCCATCAGACCACTGTGTCCCGAGACCTTCAAAGGCACAGCTTTGTGGAGCCAGGAGGGGCTGCATGACATGGCCCTGCCTCCTCTGCAGAAAGGACCCTTCACCTCTGGTCCCCAGCACTCTTCCTGATGGTTCCACACAAAGGGCTGGAGGGCATGTGAGGAGATAGATATTTTCTATTATTAATTTGAATTATACTTCAAGTAATATGTTGCATCTGCATGCTTGCCTTAATGTGGTTTTGAGAAGCCCACAATTCAACCCCCTAATATAATGTTATAAATTCCCCAACATATTATTCTTTAAAAACAGTTCATTTTAAAGGGATAGTTTTTTTTCAAATCTTCAGTGCATGGCTGTGTATTCTAGTTGTTAGTTCTCTATGTGAGTCTCTGCCACAGTAAGACAACTGACAGAAGGATGGTTTGGTTCCATGACTGGGAAATGAGCCCAGGCCATGGCGGTGAGAGTGCCAAATCTTAACCACCAGGGCTGGCTGAAAAGATATTTTTTAATTAGAAGAATAAACTCTTTTATATTGATCTGCATATTAACCATTTCAATGGCTCTTCATTCCTTTGTACACATTCCAGTGTCTCTATTGTATCACTTTCCTCTTGCTTGAAGATCTTTTCATATATTTCTTGTAGTGGTGGTACACTGGGGATGAAACCCCTTGGCTATTTTTGGTCCAGAAAAGTGCTCACTTACATTAGCTTTGGAAGGATCTGTTTATTGTGTAAGATATTGTAGGTTGACATTTTTCCCCTTTCAGTTCTTCACGTTCTTTGGCTGCATAGTTTCTTAGGAGAATTCTGCTGTAATTTTCTCCTTTGTGCTTTGTCTTTGTCTTTGGCTGGTTTGAATATTTTCCTTTTCCCTGAATTTAAATGATTAAAATAATATGTGCCTTGGTGTGGGAGGTGTGTGTGTGTGTGTGCGCGCGCGCATGGGTGTATTCCCACAGCTCCGCTTAAGCCCTCTGTTCCTCCTTGGTGAAATGTCCACCCAACTCTGCTGCCTTCTCTACCACCTTCTCCCTACCCAGCCCCGCACACTTGTCCTCCTCTGGACAATGGCACCTTCATTCCCATGTTAGTTCCTAGAGTCAGGGCTCTGGGAGTCACTCTAGATATCTCCCTCCCTCACCCTTCACACCTCCCTTCAAATTTCACTTCCTGAAAGTGTCATAAATTGCTTCTTTCCTCCATCACCAAGACAGCTGTCTCCAGGATGGCTGGGTCTCCCCTCCGGAGATCTTGAAACAATTTCCCTCTGGCCTCTTGGCCACCGTCTCTCCCTTCCAACTCTTCCCTAAACTGGCCTCAAGGGGATCAGTTTGATCTTTATAAGAACCTGCCCCTTTCCTGCTCAAAACCTTCCATGGTTGCCTGTTATCCTCGGATAAAGTTCATTTATCTGTCTCCCCTCTCTGCTGGAGCTAGTTGAGTGTCTTCTTCCTATGTTATACACTTCACAATAAAAAACTTTAAAAACTAATATTAAGTAGACCTAGCCATAAAAAATGCATGCTGTATGCTGCCATTTACACAAAGTTCAAACAGGATAAAACCTAAATTTTGAAATTTAGGGATGCATATTTTGTTGGCAAAATATTTTTCTTTAAGATAAATGCTAGGGATGAGATTAATAACTTTCAAGAAGTCACTGAGGAAACCTCCAATTTCCCTCTGTGTAAAACCTTTGAATAGATCATTGACAAAGAAGGATTAAAGTTAATAAAAATTTAGATGGGAAAGCTCTTTATAATCACATCAATGCAAAGTAAAGAAAGAATGTAACACTATTTCTCTAATCTTGATTCAGCAAAACTGAAAAAAGTCAGTCATACAGGCACTCTCATATGCCATCTGGAGCTGTAAATGAGGAGGGCACTTCTGGAAAATGTTGCATTAGCTTCACATGGAATTGGAGGAATCACCACCACTCCTGACTTTTTGCATCAAGTAAAATGCATTTTGCACTAAGATACAAAAACGCTGACTTTCAGGAAGTTTAACAAATAGAGCTTTATTTTTCTCACGTGATAGGAACTTTAGAGTTGGGCTGGTGCTGCCCTGGATTCAACAGCTTGGCCGAGCCCACAGGACATTCTGGAGAGTCAAGAAGGGGGATGGGTACAGGGGAAGCTCAGTCCCCAAACCGGAAGATCCGTCTGTCCCCGATTTTATCCTTCCCAGGCAGGTCATTACCTCTGAGTCAGCTGCTTTTCCTGATCTGAGGCCCAGATCTAGTTCCTGTCTAGTCAGACCCCTCCCCTCAGCCCAGTTATTCCTATCCAGGGAGTCAATTCTGCTTCAGCACCACGGACAGCGTCATCCCTACTTTCCCGGGCTCCCCAAGGACCAGGCTGTGTCTTGCCTGAAAAGAGCGCTCCCCTCTGGGGGCTCCCGATCCTGATGGGAGAATTGGGAGGGGCTTGGAGACTGCATATGACCTCCCAGTCTTGGCCAGCCCTTCTCAGGCTCCTTGCCAACCCCAGGAAATAGCACCTTATATTCCATCAGAGAGGAATTTCTCACATACCCTTGGTTTCTTGCTTCTCAGGGTAAACTCTACCTCTAATCTCTTCAGAAATTTCTCCCTGTCTGAGGAAAGCTCCCATGCCCTCCTCTTACACCTCTCACAGACAGGAAGGGCCTCTCTCCCCAACATGCTGATATATCTGCCTCTCTCTTCCACCCTCTCCCGCTCTGCCTCTCTTTCTCTCACTTAGTCTCTGGCTGGTACCCAAATGGAGTTCCGGAGGGAAGAGAACAAGACTCATGGTCCTTTGCTGACTCTATCTCTGTGCCAAATCATGAAAGATTTTTTAAAATTGTGTTTCAATGTCTGTCAGATAAATGAAGGAATGAAATATCAGGAGGCTGATGGAAGCATTGTCTTTGGAAGTGACAGAAGACATGCAAAGTGTGGAGGCACATGACTGAGTTTGCTGAGACAGAGAAAAGTGTTCCGTGACATCAGAGATAGATCGCTGTCAGTGGGAGACATACAGACTACAAGAGGGAGATCAGTAAGGAGAGGGGGATTAGGTGGTCACCCCTTGGAGGAGAAATGTAGAGGCTGGAAGAGCTGTAGAGAAGATGAGGAGAGATATTCTGTACATGTATGTGCAAGGCTAAGAGGAAATGTGAGGAGGAGCAAAGATCCAGTCACAAGTTCTGGCTCACCCTGAACCCAAACAGCTCACCCAAGTTTGGCACTGGAGTCAGGGCTCCTGGCTCAGTCCCAGCCTCTGTCCATAGAGGCTCTCACTGCAGATGAATTCAAGAATTCACTCAATGCCTCCTGAAGCCCCAGGCTGTTCCAGCCGTGGAGTGGGTCCAACACAGAAAGGATTCAGTCCCAGGAGAGTCTTGGTGTCTCACTCCTCTGTCCCCATGATACAGGCTCCAAGAAATCTATCTGGGGAAAAACAGATCCCCAAACTCCACTTACATGTTGACAGAAGTGGGGGCTGGTCTTCAGGAAGTAAGAGGGTGGGTTTCAGGTTACGGGAGGAAGGAGGCTCCATCTGCTGTGGTTCCAGGAGAGAAAACCTCAGGTTTCACTTCCCCTGCTGTGGCCTGAGGGAGAGAGCGGTATTCTTGTCGAAGAGAGAAGTTTGTGGCAGAAACCGTAGATTTCAATCTAGAAAGAGCTCCAAGCTTGCTGACCACCTCAGAGTCACCCCCACCTGCCAGCTGGGAGATGCTGATGAGATGGTATCATGGGAATCTAGACAATCCTCTGAAGCCCAGAGATGCTGCTGCCATGGTGTCCACAACTGTGAGGGAGACAGCTCTTCTGGACGGGCTGCAGTCAGAAAGTGTTTCCTGCAGTGGTCCCTGGAGGATGGTGCAGGTAGAGTTTGTCACCTTCAGACAGTGACCATGAAGGAGGGCCTGCCTGTGCATCCTATCCCATTCTCCAATCCAACTCACGGATTTTCTGGCACCGATGTTAGCCCACTCAACTCTCACCTTCACATCGTGGAGGTGGCCAAAAGACACCATAATCCTCTGGCCGCAGACCCTACCAAACCTGGAAGAGAGAATCTAGGGCGGACTCAACCTCCTCAGGGAAACAAGCTTGGGCCCACAGTTGATCTCGGAGCTTCATATTTTCCAAGATGTGGGAAAGTGGGAAGACTTTACAATAAATAAATATTATGTGAAATATGACTGCCAATATATGACACTGTCTCTTAAGGTGACAAGTAGCCAAGGGTCCCAGAAGAGAACCCTAGAGACAGGAACACACCTGCTCCTTATCTGACGGGTGTGGGAAGTGATCAGGACCCTGGGGCTGAGAGAGGGGGAGGCCAATGCGGAGGTTGCCCCTAAGGCCACACTCTGGCATCTGAGACTTTTTCTCCTCTCCAGCTTGTACCAGATACCCCAAGTCTACACCCCTTTCACCTGAAGTGCAACCATCTTGCAGTTTAAACAGCACTGTCAGTAGCTTCTGTAAGAGGATTCTTCTCTCCCCACTGGACCGCAAGCCATGCCCCTGCCCCTAAGCACCTCCCCAGATGTTAGGGTCAAGGTCATGATCCCAGCACTGCATGCCCAGCGACCTTCCTAGGAGGCGGTAGGTCTATGGATAGAACCATTGGAGGAGTTCAGTCCTTAACTAAAAACCTATATGTGAATTTTCAAGCCAAATCACAGGCAAATAAAAAGGCTTTCCCTAGCTGTCCTCACGGGGAAGCCGCCCTCCCTGCACTCTTGACTCCAGGAGCTGGCCAGGTGGGACCTGTTTCTCCAGTACAGACAGCTGTGCGTGAGCCCAGGATGCAGGACTTGGGGGCTCTTGTCCTTCCTAGTGGCATTACTAGGGCAAGCCCCTTGTCTGTCTGAGCTTCAGGGTTCATCTGTCACATGCAGAAATGGGCAAGGATGATATCAAATGGGCAGTCACAGCCGATTCTGTGGTCTGAAGTTTCCTTTTCTGGGCTTGTGGCCCTTTGTTCTCACCACAGGCTTCCTGTCTAAGCTTCCTCTGCCCTCCCACATCTGCAACGTTCTCTGCTCTCTCAGAGGCACCCCAGAAGGCAGACTATCCCAGGGCATGAGGACAGGATGTCGCTGCAGCTGCTGCTGTTGCTGCCCATGCTGTGGGGAGGTGAGTGGTCAAGGGGAGGAGGGGGCCCCAATCTGGGGAGGCCCTGGATCTCCAGGCTGAGTTTCTCCTTCTCCCCAGCACCCACGGCTCAGGGTCAGAGTTACCAGCTGGAACTACGACAGTCCCTGACAGTGCATGAGGGCCTATGTGTCGTCGTGCCCTGCAAATTTTCCTATCCCTGGACAACCTTTGGAACCCTCTATGTGTCTTGGCTCTGGGAAGGAGTGTATAGAAACCGTGATTCTCTGATGGCCACAAACAAACCAGAGCAGAAGCTGCATGAGAGCACCCAGGGCCGGTTCTTCCTCCTCGGAGACCCCCAGGCCAGAAGCTGCTCCCTGAGCATCAGAGACGTCAACCTGGGGGACAGTGAGACTTACTTCTTTCGTATGGAGAAATCCTTCAGGAAATACTCATATCTAGA